GGCGGGCGGGCGGGCGGGCGGTCTGGCTCTCTCTCGCTCTCTCGCTGCCCCCCCGCCTCCCGCAGCCGCTCTTCTGCAGCCTGACATTGGTTCAGCGGCGGCTGCGTTGCCTTCTGTGTGGGTCACTCGGCGCCGGGTGTGGGTAAAAGCTGGATTGTGCCGGATCCTGCTGGATTTGCAGAGACCCACCCCCTCCTCCCCACAGCACGACCCTCCCCTCAAACCGCGGGCGCCGCCGCATCCACCTGCCCACCTGCTTGCGGAAAGGGCCCCTCCTTTCTCTAAAAGCGAAGGACGGGTCTCGGCACAGAAAGCCCCCCCCCCCTTAAATATTTTTGCGCGTGTTCTTGTGGCAGTCGGGCGGCCGATGGGCCTTGCCAGTGTTTGTGTCCAACTCCCTTTCCCCCTTCACCAAATGGGGGGCTCTCAACGCAGGAGCCGAGCTGGGCCTCTCTCCCGCTTCACCAAAAAACGACAGAGCAGCCGAGGGGATCAGAGGAGAGCAAGCCCATATCCTGGATCTGCAGTCTCGAGCCTGCCAAAACCCACCGATCTGGACTGGTCACACTCCCAAATTGAACTGCCTTGGAAGACTACAGGGCCTGGTCTTGATGCCTCTCAAAACTCCAGATGGAGCTATGTTCCACTGCAACACTAGACAATACTAGGCCCAGACTGCTTTTTCTTCCAGCTACTAGGAGCATTGACGTTTTAAAACAGACTGAGCGATTTTATGCATATTTATACATCAGGAAGTCCCACTGAGTTGAGTGGGATTTACTCCCAGTTAAATGCCCACAGAACTGCAGCCTTGATTCACAAATTGTGAGAGCATTCGAAGTACAAAAGCACTGCAAACATCCATTTCCCAGCAAGAGATGTATTTGTGTGTAGTTCATGGTAAGATATTCCACAAAGTAAGACCACCCATGGCAAAATAGCGTCTTAAAATGAGGCATCTCCTGTATCGGTTGGGCAGGATGAATGTGTGTGCAAAACTCCACAATCTATCACATTTCTATCCTGCTCTTCCTTGATATTCCTGAGATAGGATTGCCAACTCCAGGTTGGGAAATTCCTAGCAATGGGGTGTGGAGCCTTGGGAGGGCCGGATTTAGGAAGGGGAAGGACATCAGGGCATAATGCAGCACTGCAGGGCCTCCTGCTATGGCAGGCGATCTCTTGTGTAGCAGCTCCCATTGGCTGCCAGTACTCTGAGTGGTGGTGGTGGTGGTGGGGGTTGTTATTTTTTTTAAAAAACAACCCACTGGCATGCGCACAGCCCTAGGAAAACCCGGAAGTGACAGCACATCTCTTTAGGAGTCACCGGAAACTCTGTGGTTTTACCATAAAATTTCTAGCTATTCTAGAGTGACATGATGGTATTTCCAGTTTTCCCTGGAAGTGATGTCATGGTGCACATGATAGGAGCAGCCCCCTATTGTCCTCACTCCCCAAGCTCTCGCCAGTTTATTTATTGATTTGATTTATATCCCGCCCTCCCCGCCAAGGCAGGCTCAGGGTGGCTTACATAAATTTTGACAAGTCAAACAACAATTATAAATATAGCTCTAAAAACAAGACTTAAAGTGCTAGTATCAGTTTATACAGTGATGGGGAGGTAGTAATAGCAGCAGACATACTAAAAAATACAGTCAGCAGTTGTTATTGCAGTTTGGCAAAGTGCAGGCTATTGATGGTGGCATTGGGCACAGGGTTTTAGTTGCTAAATGCGGCTCCTTAACTTAAGGCCTGGTGGAAGAGCTCTGTTTTACAGGCCCTGCGGAAGTGTAAAAGGTCCCACAGGGCCCTAGTATCTTTTAGCTCGTTCCACCAGTGCAGAGCCACCACTGAAAAGGCCCTGGCCCTGGTTGCTGCTAGCCTGGCATCTTTAGGACCCGGGAGGGCCAGACGGTTTTGAGACCCCGACTGTGGTGCTCTCTGGGGAACATGTGGGGAAAGGCGGTCCCTCAGGTAGGTAGGCCTATGACCATAAAGGGCTTTAAAGGTAAGCACCAGCAGCTTGAAGCGAATCCAGTACGCTACAGGCAGCCAGTGCAATGCTTTTAGCACAGGCTGGATGTGCTCCCACATGGGGAGGCCCAATAGCATCCTGGCCGCTGAATTCTGCACCAGCTGAAGCTTCCGGATTTGGGACAAGGGCAGCCCCATGTAGAGAGTATTACAGTAGTCCAATATCGAGGTGACCATCACATGGATCACTGTCACCAAGTCATTGCGTTTGAGGAAGGGGACCAAGTGCCTAATCAGCCGAAGATGTTAAAAGGCTGACTTAGCAGTGGCTGCTACCTGGGCCTCCATCGTTAAGGAGGCATCCAAGAGCACTCCCAAGCTCCTTAACCTCTGGTGCCCCGTTGAAGGTCGGGAGTGGGATCCCTAACCCCGGACCACCCTGACTCAGGCACAGGACCTCCATCTTCGTTGGATTCAATTTCAGTCGGCTCAGTCTAAGAAGCAAATCAGCCACGGCCTTCAAAGCCAGGTCCAGATCTCCCAGACCAGAGTCAGACCGGCCACCCAACAACAGAGCTGGATGTCATCCGCGTATTGGTGACAACCCAGCCCATGCCCCTGGGCAATCTGAGCAAGGGGGCGCATGTAGATGTTAAATAACATCGGGTAAAGTATCGCCTCTTGGGGCACTCGGCAAACTAGTGGGTGCCTTTGGGACAACTGTTCCCCTAGTGCCACCCTTTGTCCCTGATCCTGTAGGAATGAGGAGAGCCATTGCAAGGCGGGCCCCTGAATCCCTGTGTTGGCGAGGCAGTGAATCAGTAGCTGATGGTCGACCATGCTGAACGCCGACAGGGCCAACAACAGCAACACTGCTGAACCAACACTGCTGAACCGCCCTGATCCAGATGCCTTCAAAGGTCATCTGTGAGGGCGACCAGTACTGTCTCCGTCCAATGGCCTGGTCGGAAGCCAGACTGGAAGGGATCTAATATGGAAGTGTCATCCAAAAAACCCTGCAGCTAATTTGTCACCACCCTCTCAATTAGTTTGCCCAAGTAGGGCAAATTCGAAACTGGCCAGTAGTTAGCATATTCGGCCAGATCCAAGGATGGTTTTTTTAAGAGGGGGTGTACCACTGCTTCCTTGAGTGCCCCAGGGAACAGTCCCTCGGAGAGGGACTTGTTGATAATGTCCCTTAGGGCACCTCGTAGCCCATCACAGTTGGCTTTAATTAGCCATGATGGGCATGGATCAAGGCTGCAGACAGTTTGGTGTACAGTTTAGAGTAATTTGCTGATTTCTTCTAGACTGATTGGACTGGAACAATCCAAAACCTGACCAAAAGACATGCATGGAGCTTCAAGTTCACTTACTGTCTCAACTGTGGCGGGGAGGTCATGGCAGAGTGACAAGATTTTATCTACGCAAAAGCCTCACAGCCAATGTCCATTTCCTTAGCATTTTATCTGCCCTGTGGCAGAGTAGTTAAGGACCGAATCATTCTAAATATTTGGGCTGGGCATGAGCTTGCAGACGCAATCATGGACGCATAGTACTCTATCTTAGTGGCTTTGACTGCGATCTCATAGGATCTCATAAACGTCCTACAAGATGCTCTTGTTGCTTCGTCGCAAGCACACTGCCACTCTCTCTCTAGCCGTCTAAGCCTTCACTTCATCATCAGCAGCTCCTGGGTAAGCCAAGGAGCCAGCCTAGAGCTAGGGTGCAGAGGGCGTCGGGGAGTGATCTCGTCAATGGCTGCCGAGAATTGGCCATGCCAATCCTCCACTAGCTCATCTAACGAGACGCCAGGGGGCATTGGATCCCATAGGGCCATCTGAAGCTGCAGAGGGTCCATTTGGCTCCACAGGCGAACTAAAATGTCCTCACCACCCAACCAGGGTAGGGGTGAAATATTCATGTGGGCCTTCAGGGCATTGTGGTCCAACCATGAAACTGCCATGGCCGTAATCCTGTCCACTGTAACCCCCGCCACGAAGATCAAATCAAAGGTGTGACTGGCTCAGTGAGTGGGGGCCGTTACATATTGGGAGAGTCCTAGTGCCACCATGGATGACACCAGGTCCACCGCCTGTGAGGAGGTCACATCATCAGCATGGACATTGAAGTCACCCAGGACTATCAGTCTAGGGAGCTCCAGTGCCCAGGCCTCCACGGCCTCCACCAGAGATGACAGGGTATCGGTTGGTGCGTTGGGTGGTCAGTACACTAACCATATAGCCAAACTCTCCCTGGCTTCCCACACAAAGCCAGCACACTCTATGCCTGTGAGCCTCAGCAGCGGGAGCGCCCTGAAGGAGTAAGCCTCCCGAATGAACAGAGCCACTCCTCCCCACCACCCCTTAGTCTACGGCTGCCAAATGCAGCCCGGGGGCGGGGAATCCCCCGTTTCGGAGCCCCGATTCCCGGCGCGCCGGAATCGGGGCCCGGGGGAAACCCCACCCCCGCGTGCGCGTCACCCGGAAGTTACGTCGCACGCTGGGGGCGGAGCCACGCCGTTTGAGGGGAAAACAAAGAGTTTTCCCCTCAAACGGCGTGGCCCCGCCCAGCGTGTGACGTCACTTCTGGGTGACGTCCTGGCGGCGCGCGCGCGCGCGCATCCCCCAGCAGCTCCAGGACCGGCCGGACGATCCTCCGCCGGTAAGAACTTCAGATTTGGCAACCCTACCTTAGTCCGGGATTGGTGGAGGACTGAGAACCCAGGTGGAGCCAACTGGGAAAGAGCTACAATCTCCCCATCTCAAACCCAGGTCTCAGTCAT